GGGGCGGGCGGGTGGGCGGGCGGGGAGACGGGCATGGTGGCAGACGTGGGCAGGGACACCCATGGCGATGGGGTGGCGCCTTCTGCCTCCAGGGAAGTCAGACGCAGGGCAAGTATCCAGGAGGGGCTGCAGGGCAGTATGTGGGGTGAGCTGCACAGAAGTGATCAGCAAGTCAGATCTTTATTTCAAAGAGTATGTGGGAAATATTTTGATAAAAAATTATAATAAAATGAAAAGTGTGGTGGGTGTAAATGATCAAGGAGTTAAATTTAGTTTCCTTGAGCATCTGGACTTTCTCAGTCAAAAGTTGTCACGTTGGGAGAATTCCCTGGAGGTCCAGTGATTAGGACTCTGCTTTCACTGCTGAGGGCCCAGGTTCGATCCCTGGTCGGGTAACTGAGATCCCACAAGTGGCGCACACGGCGTTAAAAAAAAAAAAGTTGCCATGTTGGGCCTAATTCTGAACAAAATATTCATCCTCCAATAGAGAGTAAACATTCTCAGGTTGTAGGTCCTGCTGGTGGGTCAGCAGTCCTGGGCCCGGTTCCTGCTGGTCCTGGCAGGGACTGGGTGTGAGCATCAAGAGCACCCTCCTATGGGAGCTGCAGGACATTTTCTCTGAGGAGATAAATGACAGCTTTTTTTTTTTTTAGCATAGACAAAGACTGTCAGATTTACTGTCACTTTCAGAAATAATGTATTGGTCAATTTAAAACTCCAAGTGTGAAAATATCTCTTTATTGCTACATTTAGTTCTTAGGTTCATGACTGTTCACTATAAAACTCTCTTTTGTTGAGTAGTCTATGGCTATGTTAAAATTATGCTTCACAGCAATTAATCAATATACATGGCCTTGGGAAACGCTGGGGGAGAAAAAGAAAGTGTGTTTTAAAAATAATAAAGCTTAGGGAGTTCCCTGGTGGCCTAGTGGTTAGGATTCCTGGCTTTCACTGCCGTGGCCCAGGTTCAGTCACTAGTTGAGGAACCAAGATCCCGAAAGCTGCACACCGAGGCAGAAAAAGACAAAAAAACAAAGCTTAGGTCTATCCTTTTTTTTAATGCAAATTGATCTTTGTAATAAAGTGTCCTTTGCCCTATGTTTAGCATACACAAAAACCTAACTTATATTCAGTGAGTCTATATTGGTAACATGTTATTTTACTTTCTCAGTTTGATTTACTTTAGTTGTTTTTAGTGAATTGCATTCCAGGTTAAAGGTATTCCGTTGTTAGTATATACAGTAAGAGGAGATAAAGGGAGGGCATTTTGAAGGCATTTGTTCTAATTAAATCATATTTTCATTTTCAATAATAAGTTAATACTCTTTAATATCTCATGGACTATTACTTCACAACCAACTTACTTTCACAGAACAAATTCTTTATGCATTTGAAAACTAGAATATAATTGTGGTTATCTATTTCATCAGCTGTATTTGACTGAATAAAATTCCTTGTATCTGAGAATTACTGTCTTCAGGAAATCATTCTTACTATTTGATTCCAAGAAGGTGTCGTGCTTCCTTTGAGCTTCTGGCTTCCTACCGGGAGGAATCTATTCATGTTGTTTCTGTTCTTTTTTTTTTTCCCTTTAACCTTATTTTTAAATTTTTTATTTCTTCTAGTTTTATTGAGATATAATTGACATACAGATCTGTATAAGTTTAAGATGTATAGCATAGGGCTTCCCTGGTGGCGCAGTGGTTGAGAGTCCGCCTGCCGATGCAGGGGACGCGGGTTCGTGCCCCGGTCCGGGAGGATCCCACATGCCGCGGAGCGGCTGCGCCCGTGGGCCATGGCCGCTGAGCCTGCGCGTCCAGAGCCTGTGCTCCGCGACGGGAGAGGCCACAGCAGTGAGAGGCCCGCGTACCA